TTATCTTCCCTCTTCATTATATCATATTTTTTTGTCGATCACTTATATAAAGAAAAATTTTATATCTTCTTTTCTTAGTTGATTGGTTTAAAAGTAGGAAACTGAAAAATAGAAAAAGTCAAATAACATGACATCTGAGAACATAATCTTTATTAAGATAGATTGATTTATCTTTACTTTAATCTTTTTCTCTATCGAGCTAATTAATAGTTTTTCAAATGAAATGAAATAAATTGATAATTGTTATAATAAAATGGACCGATTTCATATAACCTCATTTATAGTACTAAATAAATTCTCTTATATTATTAAAAAGTCTATCATAATCATTCTCAATGTCTGTTACAGAAAGGTATATGTTGCTATTATAGTTAAATCTAAGTATATTGTTTCGTGCTTATCGTAATTCTTCAACCAGAAAAATAAAGCAAGATAATTATTCTCTCTTTAAAAAGCAGTTTGATAGTTGGGCACATTTTGAGAAAGAATTTAAAAATTGGTGCATTAATTGTTATCAACCAATGAATATAAAACGTTCTTCAATGAAATATAATGAAAAAATAACGAGAGAATTATTTAACTATGTTCAATACCAAAATGTAATGTATGTATGTCATCATAGATGTCCTGTTCGAAGACATATAAAAGATGAATCAAGACCAAACCAAGAATCGGCTCGATTATATTGTGAATTTATTCTCTTTCTCGTAGAGAAGAGTCTTGTGAGAATAAATTGTTTGTTTGCTTGCTTGTATGTCCGCACTTCAGTGATTGGTTCAAAAGAAGGTGAAGACAAAAAGGATTATTTTCCATAAAGCTTGACCGAAGGATAATCGAGAATGAGGAGTTCGAATCTAAGACTAGTTTTAACTGATTATTAATTAATTATTAACTATTCATTAATTATTAATGTTTTCTATAAAACTTGGCCAAAGTTTATCGAAGATGGGGAATCCAAATCTGAGCTCAGTTTTAGCTAACTTATTACTAATTAATTATTAGCTAAATATTAATTGATTATGAATTATTATTATTTTTCGTAAAACTCCACTGCGGGTTATTGAAGGTAAAGAATTCAAATCTGATATCAGTTTTAATTAATTAATTAATAATTAGTTATTAACTAATTATTAATCATTATTATTTTAAACAAAAATTCACCATAGGTAATCAATGATGAAGAGTCTAAATCTGTGATCTGTTTCCATTAATTAGCTATTCATTAATTAATTAATAGTTATTAGTTTATTGTATAAAGCTTCATCAGAAGTAATCAAGAACGGGTGATCTGATTACGGGCTCGATTTGAATGATTCAATGATTTAGAGAGCAGGGATATGAGTGAGTCAGAGATGAATAACATATGTATACTAAATGAATAATTTGCTGATAATAAGAAAATAGTTCTTCTACGAGAAAGAGCTAAGCGAGTCCATAGACGAGCGTTACTTGTTTTAAAACGCTATACGGAATTAAATAAAATTGTTTTTATGAAAAATCAAAATTTAACTCATAACGATCCAAAAATGAGGAAGTTTATAAGAATGATTCAGTTTAAACAGATAAGGCATTAGAGATAGAGATGTTCGATCTTTAATGTTTTATGATCAGATATCTTTTACGTGATCATTATGTTAAATGTATTGAAAATAATGAAATTTAATTGTTTCGTTTAAAAACAAAGAGAGAAAGCACTAGAAATGCTGCTGAATTATTGATCTTTATTTGACTTAATTTTTTTCTATATGATTTATACTTTATTCGTATGTAATAAAGAATTAATAAAACTATGAAAAAACTTAGATAATTAATTTATATTAATCAACAAAAACATATAATATTATAATATGACTTCATATTTACTAATATATTGGTTATATCTACCTGTGTGTACATAGCCAAAGGGCTATATACACATATGTGTAAATAGTCAGTCAGCTATATACACTCGTGTGTACAGAGCCACTTGGCTATGTACACACAAGTGTACATAGCCGACGAGCTATGTATACATATGTGTACATAGTCACTTCCATAATTAAAAGCATCTTAACCTCAGAAAAAATCGTGGTTTTTTTCTCTACAAAAGTAGACAGAAAAAATCTAGAGTTCTTCGAACAACTTTGGTTCGTCTTCCACAGATATCAACTGATCCATCGATTTTGATTTCTTCAGGACATGAAGAAATTTATGTATCTGAACAACAACAAAGATTGCATTGTCATTTCGAAATCTTCGATAGATAAGCTTCTATTTGATGTAAAATTAGTTTTGAAATGTTTTATAGTTCAAGAGAATGAAACGTTTATAAAATGACAGCTCTGGATGCCATCTGACAAGAAAGTATGAAATATGAAAAATGCCTTTTGTTGAAGTATTTATGAAAGAATACTTGTAAAATATTCCCGATAGAAAATTTTATGATCCTTCATCAGTACTATCTATAATAATTAGAGTCAGTATTATAATATAAAAATTGAATAGTCATCTTGTTTGATTGGACGTCTCGAAATAAATATTTCTATGAAATATTTTAAATACTGTAATCTGATTTACGTATAAGATGCTTTCATTGATATATTCGTTGTAGCAATTTTATTTAAACATAAAATCTGTAACAAAAATAGATAATTATATATTGTAAGTTTAATAACACAAAGTAAATAAAAGTTTGTCCAAAAATTAAGTAAAAAAAGGCATAAATGTGCACTATGGTCAAACTTAAGTTGGACATTGAAATAAACTTTTATTGATACATAAAGTAACCAATTTAGATTTTCTAAGAAAAATAGATTATAGAATGGAACGGAAAAGAAGAATTATTAATTTATATTTAAACTGTTTCCTTTCATTTAACTACAATCAGAAATAAATACAATCAATTGATTGTAAATGTTCACATCAAACACTTATGATTATTATAAAATATAAGCATCATGTTTATATCTAAATTAGTAATTTCCTACAAACAATATTGTGATTGTTCAAACAATGAAGTTAATAAATAAACAGAATACATACTTTACATGATTATAAGACATAACTAAAATCTGACGAAATAATATTCATAAGAAAAATTCAAAGAATTCTTGTCAATGAGCAAAATTTGTTCGAAGACGACTATCATTGCAAAGTATTCGATTCATTTAAGATTTCTTTACGATACATGTTGTATCACATGGTTGATCATCATCGTCGATGGTTTTGTTGAAAACTTTTCATTTGTGGGCACCAAAACGAAAGATTTATTGTTTTCTATAGAAGTGCAGTAGTTTCCAAAGTTTTTCCTATTTCAAATCAGATTTGTGTCGAAACCGTTCAGTACTAGGGGTCAAGAACACAAATGGAGAAAAATTAATTCTTCTACAAATCAATTACTGTTTATAAGAATGAAGTTTGTATACCATCTTTGAACCAATTAAAAAATTATAGTTTTTTAGAGAAAGATCCACTTATATTAGCAGTCTACCAGGTATGATAAGCGTACCAAAATGTTCCACAGCATACAATTGGTCTTTTGATGTTCAGGTACTTAGTTAGCGTAATCCGAGCTATAATAGTGAAAAATTGTACTTACCATTACAGTGTAGACTTTCCTATATAATCAATAATAATCAATAGTTTTTTTTGGATTTACAGTCGCTACCAAAATTACAAAACCCCACCTATGTTCAAATTTATTTCGCTGTCTCTAACGTTAGAAAGAATACCGTTAACGATTGCAGTAAGAAAAAACATAAAAAAATATATAAAAGAATAAAAATGGTTACCAGATTTCAAAAGATGGTGTTTCTGGAAAACCAAATCCTTAGTTGTTCAGTGAATAGACAACCCAAATGTAATTTGTTGAGTCTATGTTAAATTATAGAACGAACGATTCTCTAGAAAATGAGATGTCTCAAAGTTCTTGATGATGACTTTTTCTTGGAAATACAAAAAGCTGATTGAAAGTCTAAAATGGAATTTTTCATAGAAAATATTAAAAAAACTTCGCTTCAAGAACTTCCTTAGAATTACCGTATTACAGCAAAAAAGGTTTATTCTACTCGAATGATGATTTGGACCCCTTTTTAGCGTTTAAAACAGCAGAGAAAAGTTGACGATGAAACTTGTTTAATACTGTTTTCTTGTCGATTGTCCCAGATCTTATACAAATATACTCACATCAAATTTTTATACTTTACGTTTAAGAAGCAATAACAATCAAAAGAAAGATAGTCTATACCAAATGATATTATGAGAAGATCTGCAGATCATATGAGCAAATTTTGTTATATACTATTATTACTGTTAAAAAACGTTCTACTCACATTTTTAGTCTGATGAAAATAAAAAAGTAATGTAGCTCTCTTCAATAACGATGTCATCAGTCTTGATTTTATAAAATAAAAACTTAGTTAATTGGATTATCTTTCAATAATTTGACGAAAAATTATTTGGTTTATGTAATGCAATGATATTTAATAATGAACTGTATCCATCAGAAAATCATACCAAATACTTATAAATATATTTTAGCATTTTAACATCAGCAATAATGCCAATGTCACTAACACTCATTGGATACTTGTAATGATCTTGTTTTTTTGTTCAAATTTATCGTTACAATACTTTTCTTTTTCTTTTATTAAAAAAGAAAAGCGAATCAACAAAATAACAACAGAATAACATTGTTCAATCAAAAACAAACATAAGTAGATTCTAACATATATACAAAAAAAAGAAAAGATAACTATGGATCTTGTGACTGTTGAATTTGACCAAAATTAGGTCGTTCCTGAGGTATATATCGAGGTTGTCGTAACCATTTTCGTTGAAATGGTGGAGGAATATTGTATTTTTCACGTAAATCATTTTGACGATCTCTTTCAAATTTTATATCATATAAACTTCTTTCA